ATACTTTATTGTCTCATACACTTACATGTAACGAAATTGATTCTCTGCATTTAACCTATCCCTCAAGGGAGCAGTGGGCAGCCACTGTGCATCGCCCAGGGACCAACTCCAGATTTGTACCAGTGTCATTGGTCTATTTTCATTTGAATTCTGTGTCAGCACTTTAATAACACTTTTAGTATTAAATTAGACCATTTTAATTTCAGTTAACAATAATATATGCCAATGTTTACAACTGTGGTGTAGTGGGCCTGACTTCTCAATAAAAACTGAATTTTTAAAAGACAATTGTGACTAAATTTAAGAGATTAGTTTATTTTCTGAAATTACATTTTTTTTTTCAATTGCTAAGATGCAATGGTGATAACTGAAGCCACTTTTTCAAAACTCTTCACACAGTCCGCATTACCAACATGCATCCTGGCTTATATGAAACACTTTCATATAAGCCTCAAAATAAACTCGTTCAGCCAAAACACTTGCAACAATACCCACTCAGAAAGCATGCAATCTCACTCATAACAAACAGGAAGCATTATGTACATTTGTTGAACTTTTATCTTTGAAATGTGACTGATATTTTCATACTAAATTTGTATTTCATTACAGTTGTTTTCAGTCACTTTGATACATTTCTCAGATCAGAATAGAAATCCTGCTTGTTCAACCTCCACATCATCTAGTCGCTTGTGCACATCATATGTAAAAGCAGTGTCTCAGTCTTTTGAGAAATTGCAAATTGCTCATGCTTTGACACATTTATGCAAATGATTATGTACATTTGTCTGCTGTTTCCTACATTATCAATTGCTTACTGTATGTCATTGCGTAAGTCACTACATGCAAAATGGTAGAGCACGTCATAATCTGCATTTTCCTACATATGTCTATTAGACTTGTTTTGTAAATTTGTCCTACAGTAAATTGATGAAGTTCTGATATGTTGTGCTGTGAATAAGAATCTGTGGCCCAATAGACAGGAACATCAACCTGACGGGGTGTTTTCATGTTTCCATTTCTTATTTTGTAATTGTTTCTGTTGTGCTATGCAGTGCTGTAAAATAGTTTTGTTTTTTTTATTTTCTGCATCACAATGACAACAAATCACAGTGCATACAGTAAAAGTGTAACTGTGAATCCTGTCCAAATCTCTTGCAATGTTTACTGTAACTCTGTACTGTTGAAATTGATCTATGCCATACAGAAAAAGTACAGCCTTGTGCATTTTCAATCATTGTCATCAAAAGTTTAGCCATAGTTTACCCATACAAATAATTTTGCAAATGTACCAAAGCGACTGAGAACAAATGGAAGAAACCTGTAACATATTTTCACTTTATTGACTGTACTCTAGTATATGTTACAAGAATGAATCAGAACTACATTCAGTAATTTACTTGTGAAAAAAAGAAGTTCCTGACATTTCAGTGCTGCAATACACTTTTTTTTGTGTTTACATAGTTAACACTGGTACCTGAGACCCAATGACCACAGTCTGTAATTGATGCACCATCCCCTTGAATCAATTCTGATAAAATTCAAGCACATTTCTTGCTTTACACTCAGCTTGCAGTTTTACAGTAAAACCACATTCAAAACATTACACATATTTCTCTAAAATATAAAATGGATGTAAATGTTCAGCAAAGATTTTCTATTTATATATATATCTGTCCAGCTACAGCAAAAATGCAGGAAATTTGCAAACATTTAGTTTTGAACAGTTTTGGACACAATGTGTTAGCATTAGAAAAATGTGCTGCAGAAATATAGTGTTTTACAGGTGGTGATGGGAGAAGAGTTCATGGATTTTGGAGAAAGTGGTCATTGAATGCATTTTGTGTTAAAGCAATGAAAAATGATTCACAGTTTGGTCCACATACACTTCTGTTTCGCTGACTGTGTGAAGAGTTTTGACAATGTGACTTCAGTTTGGACCAATGCAGGTTAGCAATTGAAAAAAACTGTTAAACTGCATATTATTTAAATGAACTGGAATTAAACTACACTACACGTTTGACATGCACACGCCCCCTTCACTGTGTTCCTTTGTCAAATATTTTACTGCCAAATAAAACTGATAATCAAGGATGGCAAGGGATTGGATAGTTGAGTCCGAACAAAAGGTATTTCTATGCAATATTAGAATGAATTCTCCTGTGTTTTGGAGGCCCCTCCTGCGGGGCATGAACTTGTGAGATCAGCGATTTAACAAGTATGCATGCATAGATGTTTGCCTTTGTCTAAAAGTGTGTGTGTGTGTGTGTGTGTACACACTTGTCCACTACTCAGTTAGCGATGCAAGACACAGATTAATCTTCCAGCGTCCAACAGAGAATAAATCACTCGTTCATAATTAGCAGGGGCAAGGTTATAACTGACAACGAATTTCATCTTAATTACAGGAGGGAAAATTTGTTCCATTAATTTTATGGGGTTTGCATGTACACATCTCAATTTTAAGTTAATCACACCTGTCACTGTTCTAGTAAATGTCCACAACAGCTAGAGGGTCACTTAATTTATTCTCATGGGAACTTGAAAATGATTTTAATAATTAGCATGCATTGGTTTACATAAATCAATGTACCGTTTAGCTAACTGGGGCCAGCTGCTGTTTAGAGCAACAAAGAATAAGGTATAAAGTAGGATCATGTATCATTTTAGCAACAAAGTAAACAAATTCTGATTTGTGGGACTGTTCACTTGTGAAGTACTACATCAAGCCACATAACAGTAAGTCGGAACACACAACTGATTTATGTTAACCTATATCAATGAGAATAATTGCATGTCTCAAATACATCACTTATACAGCCCTTTCTATATGCTTGGCTTACAAAACACACCCAATAAGGCCGACATTGTCACAGGCTTTGGTTGGTTGGGTGTTTTGTATTTGTTTCTGTGTTCATTCCCTGCCCTTGTGTTTGCTCTTCTCTGTAGTATGTGTTACTTTGTTTATTAGTTAGATTTACTTGTTATGAGTTCATCAGTGTTTTTAGTCTTGTTTCTATGTTCTTTACTTCTGTAAGTTTTGTCTATAAGTCACTCATGTTGTCTGTTATGTTTCATGTTGTGACATTGTTCCTTGATTGTCTTAGTGGTCTCACCTGTGTGTAATTAGTTTCTCCCTCACCTGTGTATTTAAGTGTTTGTCTGTCTTTCACTTGTTGCCAGTTAATTTTTGATATTGCTGTGGATGTTTCCTGTATTGTCCCGTGTTTCTAGTTTTAGTTTATCTCTACAGGAGTCTCTTTGTGTTTTGAGTTTAAGTCTCCAGTTTAGTTTCGCGTCTCTCGGTTCCTTGAGGATAATTCTCTCATTTTGGACTTTGTTTTCACCTGCGCTGTAAGTTTTCACTTTAGTTGCAATAAACCTCACCGACTCTCCAGTTTCCGTGTCAGTGTCTGCATTTGGGTCCTGAACTTCTGTTCTCCAGCGTTCAGCCAGGAGGCTGAACGTAACAGACACTGCTACAGTTAAAATATTCTGGATTCTCTCAACCAACTAGACCTACCTTCTGCGCATGGCTCATGCACATCACACACAATGATGCAATGCAAACGACAAATAAATCCAAATTTGTATACAGCAGCAACAATACAACACATTCAGTACAGGACACAACAAGAACCCAGCAGGGAGTTAAATATTCATCCACAGAGAGACATTTAGCCATCAGGAAACAAACCAGCAAAGAGAGATACATACACAAAGACAGAAGACTGTATCTGTATAATATGGTTCTGGAAGTATCTGGGCACTATTATTTTACTTTGAACCAAATACTTAATTATACTGGTTTTAATGTTGAAACCACTTTTACGAAAATGTTTAATTCTTGTTTAATTGAGTCTGTTCTAATATTCTCTTTAACCTGCTGGTTTGTCCTTAAAAAAACAGAAACCGGTTGGAAGGAATTGTTCAGACTGTGCAGTAAAATTGCATGCATAAATCTGAATGACCTCTCCCAAATACAGAAAGTCAGAACCAGGAAGAAGGTCCAGTCAGTCCTCCCTGACCCTAGTCACCCCTTGATCAGGGAGTTCAGGTTGCTCCTATCCTGACATCCTTAAATATTTTGTGTAGGCTGTATGGTGTATCACATGCCAACAAATTGCCCCTTAGTTGATATTAAAGATTTACCTTACCTTATCTTGTTTTTGATGTCGACGTTGATTCACCTTTCCTTCGTTTAGAAAAAAAGTTGTTTGTCATGTAATGTCCCACTGCAGGTGTTGCTCTGGTGGCCATTTATTTGTTGGTTGACAAGTCCTCACATCTTCTCTCTCCATTGCTAATAGCTGCTGTCATTAGCAGCAATACAAAACTAGCTAACTCTGCCCTTTGTTGAATTTAAATAATGTCGCTAAACTTCCCTTGTTTGTTGAAAGACCGGAGTGTGTTTGGCTTCACAATTCACTTCAGAGTTTCTTTTTCCAGAAACGTGCATTCATGGTTAACGTTATAGAGAGTGACAGACGCCATCCTGTTCCTGACACTTAAGTAAGTTAGTTTATAACCAGCTTCACCATTGCAGTCCTGCACTGGGTTGCTACAGCTTTGTGTAGCTTTTTCCTTCTTATTTAGGGTGTAAAGTCAACAACAGAGGCTTAACTAACTACTTGTTCGTTTGTAACTACACCAGCTTCTAAAGTTGGTTGTAACACAATTACATCTCTTTAAAGGCTTCTGCACCATAGCAACCGTTTTGCTCACTCATTGCTTAGCTGTTTGTGAAACGTCACGACACTACAAGGATTCTGGGAAAATAGCCCATAGCAAAGTGAGGTCTGAGTTTCATATACAGTCTCTGATGCGCACTTGCGAAAAGGGGTGCTGATGATGTCCCCTTGAGAACAACATTAGAGGATCGGGACACCTTACGGTCTTGCACCCTTTAGCCAGAAGCGCATTGAAGGACACAAGTGCGGATGTCTCGCTTACTACGGATTTTATTTTGAAAATGATAACAGGAAGCTTGGACTTTATTTGGACAGGGCATGGTAGCCAAGCCTCTCGAGCTATAAGCCAATCACAGTGGAACAAACCTCTTCGCGTTTCATCACAATCGCCGGCTGGGAGAAGGAAGTCGTCTTTTCATTTTTCCAGCGCTTATCAAAGTAAGAAATTGTATTTTTACGATATACGTTTCATGTATGTTACGGTTTAATGACAGCGAGGCTAACGTCAAAGATGAAGATGTTACGTTGGTCTGGCAGATACCTTATCAGCCACTGCTAGAACAGCAGCATTATCTTGGTTGAACACAAGTGTCACGTCGATCTCTTTTGTAAAAACGACTAACTTTACTAAAACGTCTGTGTTCAAACACGTAAATCGCGTAAAACAGGGCGTAACGCATTTTAAATAATCCATTTGCGCACTGTTTGCAATTCTGCAGTGTACCCACACCAGATAGAACAGCTTTCCAATTTACACTTCACTTACAGTTACAGTTTGTCTGTTGAGTGTGTCAGAGTGGCATTTGTTTAGTTGGAAAACCTGAAGCTGCAGTGTGTGTTGCTGTAATAAAAGTGTCACATGTTCAGGTTATTTCAGGTGTCCATTAAGTTTCCTTCGCCAAGAGGTTAAAATTATACTATACAAACATAATATCCATTGCAGGGCTACTAGATTGCATTATTTACTAATTTTACAGGCGTTTCTGCTTTGGCCACATTAATCCGGCTGCCACCGTATGCTTAAAGGTGGTCTGGGATATAGATGAAGTGGTCTAAATTTAGACCAAGTCAGCAGCAGGCTAATCTGAGATGGGTGCGGGGGTTAGGTAAGACTTAATTCACATATATGTGTTTATTTTTACTGTTCTGTCTTAATAAATACACAACATATGCCTTTTAATTTAGGTTGCTTCATCTTAGGTTTTAATAAGCCTTCTCAATTAGTCTAGAGGTGAAGGTTTAGACAGAGAGAGTGGAAGAAAAACATAGATGATCAAACATAGATATGCAGAATAAATTATACAGGTAGGGTACATATCATGGCAGTGTCAAGATGGACTTTGTTTTCCAAATGTCAGGCTGTTTAAAGTTAAGATGAAACTTCTGGTCGCTGCTGTTTACATTCACCCCAGATGGAAGTTCAAAAAATACACTGTGGAATGTTTGGGGTGTTTACGTGTATGTATAGCTCACGACCATAGACTGCTCGCGTCACCCCTTAACTGTGATATAGTATCATGGCCTGAAGTGACCTATTGCTTTTATAAAACGGTTACCAAGTATGGCAAAAAGAAAGTAGGCTGACAGACGCACTACAATTTGACTTTATTTCATCAACAGACATTTCTTTATGAATACAAAAAGTAGTTCCACCAGGTTGCCAGTGTGACACCAAAATCTGTGACCTATCAAATGTCATATCATTTGTTGTGCAGCAACTAAAAAACTGTCCACTGTCAGTAAACCATAATTGTAGTAGCTGCGCACGCGCAGTATTTTAGAAAACTTCGGCTAAGTGCCCCTGTCATTGTTTCTGTTAATGCACGGAGGTGTACGATGCTGGTGGTGCAGTTGCTGAGGGGTGCAGTAAAGCATGCTGGGAGTAGGCCCCACTGCAGTGTCAAGCAGTTGATCTCAGCAATACGTGGCATCAGCTCATCCCCACAACAGTTATGTGCTTTTGGGAGAACTCATCCGTCATCCTGCACTGAAACTGACCACCCCAAAGTCCTCATCACTGGTTGGTTCATGGTTTTTAGTTTCTTGATTTTCTGAATTTCCTCCTCAAATGTTCTCTTTATAGTATCAAGTAAAACACTGTCACAGTGATATTTGATCTCTACTAATTTGTCCCTTTTTTTTAATAGGAGGGCTTGGACAGCTGGGGGTGGGGATCGCCAATTTGCTGAGGTAAGGAGTTCACATAACCTCCTATTTCAGTTGTTAATCTATTTCCAAAGGTGGCATAGTAGTTGTAGTTCAGTAGCAAATTTTTCCAGGTGAAGAGTTACAGCAAGTGCCACCAGTACTTGTTGGTCAAAGACTATATAATCTGGGATGCATTCTGAGGCTCAAAAAGGCTGGGAAAACAGTTATTACAAATGTCTCATGGTGCCAGAAGGCCTGAAAAAGCTAGTTTTCCCAGAACTAACCATATTGATGTTTCATCCTTAGGAGACAATTTGGAAAAAACAACGTGATCCTGTCTGACATTAGGAAACCCCCCATCCATGTCTACCATAACGGTATGTGTTTGTGTGCACGCACTCATTTCACTTACTTTTTAATGTGAACTGAGCATTGCTAGCTGTTTACCAAGTTTCCAAAGTTGTAAGATCCTGTGAGTATTACAAAACGTTGTGCAGTATTTTGTCTGATAAGCCTTTAAAGGCATTAATCTGTTAGTCAAATGGGACTTTCTGTTAGTCAAATGGGACTTTCTGGATCGTGTTTCATTGTTTTACCATCAGCATGTCCCCACCAATGAAGAACTGTTTGTGGTCTGAGTCCCTGTTTAGGACTGGACAGCCTTTGAATTGAAGTGTGCAGAGCAGGCAAGATAATATATGTGAAAGAAATTCTTGTGAGCTAGTCTGCGCTTATTGATGAAGAAGGTTTCAGGAGCCTCAGGAATTATTATAGATTCTTGGCTGAGAAGAAAATGGCAAGAGCAGTACAGAGTGAGAACACAGTGCAGTGCCAAACCAAATCTCAAGTTTTCTTCATGGTCCATAGTATTTGTCTCTTTACTGTCCCTATGCAGTCTTCGATGTACCCCTACAGGGTCATTTTTTACTGGCCTAAATATGTGTAACCATCTTATTGGAAGTTGAACTAAGTCACGTTGGGTTACATTCTAAGGGCAGACGCAAAAGCAGCATATCTCTCATCAGTGACTGTCTAGGCAACAACTCCACCCAGTTGTTGTCATGCACACACAGAGGAAGACAGCAGTTGACCTATTGCTAGAGAGACGGAGGTCTGCGAGTGATCTGAAAGCAACATCTATGTAACCTGTTCATTACTTTTTACCCACATTAAGTCCCCTACATAAAAATGAAACATCTGAGCAATACTTCCAGGCATGCACTTGGTTTCCACATAAGTGTCCACAACTGAGTGGGTAGACCTTGTTCAAAAGATGCTATCTTTTTGCATGCATGCAGGTCCATTCATCTTCTCAGACATCCTGGACTATAAGAACCTCAGGGAGATCGTGGTCAACAACAACATCAGCTGGCTTGTCCACTACTCCGCTGTGCTGTCCGCCGTGGGAGAGAACAACGTTGCACTGGCCAAAGAGGTCAACATCACAGGTACATGCACGTACACTTGCGTAATAATAATATTACTGTGAAACTACTGAAGATAAGACTCTTTATTACAGATTCTACAGCATTTAGAGCCATCCCAACACAGACTCTTATGCACAGCCTCTCTCTCTTTGTAGGTCTCCATAACATATTAGACATAGCAACCGAACATGGTCTGCGTGTGTTTATCCCCAGTACAATCGGTGCCTTCGGTCCCTCCTCACCCAGGGACCCCACCCCTGACCTGTGTGTGCAGAGGCCGCGCACCATCTACGGTGTCTCCAAGGTCCATGCAGAGCTGATGGGTGAGGTGAGACACACACCGTTCACGCAGATCTACAGTTCTGACAGACATGCACAAAGACATCTCAAGTTCCTACAGTTTTCTTCAGTGCTTGACAACAAATCCCCGGAGAGCCTGATGATGCTTTGCCTCTCCTCTCTTTGTCAGTACTACCACCACAGGTATGGGCTGGATTTCCGCTGTCTCAGGTATCCAGGCATCATCTCAGCTGACTCCCAGCCTGGAGGAGGAACCACAGGTAAGCAGGTCTGAGGAGGAAGTGTTTAAGGCGTAACCTACCTAAGCCATGGTAGGTTTTATCTGTTATCTCTTGCTGTCTCATCAGCCAGATAGATTAGCTTAGCACAAAAACAGCTAGCCTGGCTCTGTCCAACGTTGACAATATCCGCGTACAAGCTCTAAGTACCTCTAAGTAACTTGATATATCTTGTTTTTATTTATATATATATATATATATATATATATATATATATATATATATATATATATAACTGCCTGAAAACGGCTCAATCGTAGTTCAGCCTTTACTTCCTAAACTGTCATTTTGTAACATGCACCATAAGGTCATAATGCTCGCCTAACAGCTAGTGTAGCAGCCCTCCTAAACTGTCATTTTGAAACACACTGAGCTGTAGCACACACAGTGCAAATATCGCCCGCTGCCACCTGTCATCCCCACTCTCCCTACTGAACATTGGATACCCACCAAGCAGTTAATGGACTGTGATTTAGAGACAGTGCACAGTTGAATCGTTACGTATGAAAGATCAATTTGTTACAAGTGAATAACTTAACACTCTGAAATGTCTTGCTCAAGTCCAGGTTAGGAAGCTGGTTTGGGAACATGTATGACTGAAGTCCCAGCTGCTGAAGGAGCTTTGTTTGTATGTTTTTTTTGAAAATCAAACCATGTACAGGTACAACCCCTAAATAAAATGATAAACCTGAAAGCATAATGTGACCTCTTTAATCTGTAAAAGAAAGTGTAAAAACAACAACTTCTGGTTGTACAAGGGGGGGTAATGTAACTATTTCTTGGCCTGATGAAGTGTCATCCTGGAGAGTCCCCTGGTTGCCTGAGGACCTAACTTTGATGATAACACTCAAGTTACTGCGCCTGGGCAAGAAATAGTCAAAGTAATAGTTTGTATGGATTAAACAGACAATGTATAACATGTTCTAGTTTTGCCTGTCCTAATCTGCTGATCTGTTTGTCCATTTCCCAGACTATGCTGTGCAGATCTTCCACGCAGCTGTGAAGACTGGTTGTTTTGAATGCAACCTGCGCAGTGACACACGGCTTCCTATGATGTACATTGGTAATGCCAGACTTTGTAAATTTGTGGTAGAAAAATGGGTGATATTAATACTGTAATCCTCTTTGACCTCCATCTCTTTGTGTTCCTCTTAACCTCCTTCTGTTAAGATGACTGTCTCAGGGCTACTCTAGAGTTCCTGCAGGCCCCGGCAGACACACTAGTTAGCCGCACCTACAATATCAACGCTATGAGCTTTACACCGCATGACCTCACCCAGGAGATACAGAAAGTCCTGCCTGACCTCAAGGTCACCTATAATGTGGATCCAGTCCGGCAGGCTATAGGTGAGATTGCAGATATCATACTATCACAACAACGGTGTTTTAGCAGGATGCCATTACCAAATATCTTTTCTGTCTCTTCTCAGCGGACGGCTGGCCACTGGCATTAGAGGACAGCGCAGCGAGGCAGGACTGGGGCTGGAAGCATGAGTATGATCTCCCAGAGCTGGTGCAGTCCATGCTGAGTCACATCACTATGGGCAGCCAGCTGGCACAAGCCTACTGAACCGTTTGTAGCATTTAGCAACTACATACAAAGTTTTATTTGAATTTATATGACTGAGGAATTTAAGAGCGTTTTAACCATCACTATTTTTTACATTTACATTTACTCATTTGGCAGACGCTTTTACCCAAAGCGACTTACATTTGAGGAACAACATACAAGCATCAACAGAGCATCAAATACAGATCTACAACTGACAATACATACTAGTAAGAGCAGCAATAAATACTAGTAAGAGCTCATAGTACATATCACATCAATGGGGTAAATACCTAGGGACGGAAGTAAGAGTTAACAAAAAGTGCAATCAATACAAGATAATTGTAGGGGATAGAAGAAGAAGAGGTGTTATAAGAGGAAGTGTTCTCGGAAGTGATGAGTTTTCAAGAGCTTCTTGAAGTTAGAGAGGGACGTCCCTGCTCTGATGGCGTGTGGTAGCTCGTTCCACCATCGTGGTGTCACAGATGTGAATAGCCGGGACTGGGATTGCTTTGTGTGAAGGGAAGGCAGAGCCAGGCGGTGTTCGTTGGAGGAGCATAGCGGACGAGAAGGAAGGTAAGTTTGTATTATGGAGTTTAGGTAGATGGGTGCAGACCCAGTAGTCACTCTGTATGCGAGCATTAGTGACTTGAATTTGATTCTGGAGGCCACGGGGAGCCAGTGGAGGTCACTGAGTAATGGAGTGACATGAGTCCTTTTGGGCTGATCAAAAACCAGACGCGCTACTAGTTCTGAACCATTTGTAAGGGTTTCGCTGCACAAGCTTGAATACCTGCTAGGAGGGCATTGCAGTAGTCGAGGCGAGAGATAACCATGGCCTGTACCAGAAGCTGGGTGGCGTACTGAGTGAGGTAGGGCCTGATTTTCCTTATGTTGTATAGAGCAAAGCGGCATGACAGAGAGACAGCAGCATCATGGTCTGAAAAGGACAGCTGGTCATCAATCATGACACCCAAGTTTCTCACCACCCTGGTTGGAGTGATGGTTGAGGAGTCAATTTGTAGTTTGATGTTATGGTGGATAGATTGCTTGGCTGGAATGACCAAGAGTTCAGTCTTAGAGAGGTTTAGTTGAAGGTGACAAGCCTTCATCCATGCAGATATGTCCGAGAGACAGTCCGTGATCCGCGCTGAGACAGTGGGATCGCCTGGCGGGAAGGATAGGTATAGTTGCGTATCGTCTGCGTAGCAGTGGTAAGTGAAGCCGAGCGAATGATCGGCCCCCAGTGAGGGTTAAAAGTTCCTATGTCTTAACAAAATCACCAAGTCTTACCTTAAACCTTAAGATCCTAAATTATTAACAAATAAATTCAGACGGGGGGTTTAGGATTGAGATCAGTAAATTTAATACTACCAATCTGACAATGAAACAAAAGAATAAACTTTAATATCAGAGGTAAAAAAAAAAACATTCCAGACCACTCAATATGGTATTTTTGATTAGATTTGTGATTTGCACCCATCTCCATTTCTGACCATGCTCTTCTCCCTCCTCATTTGTCCATCTCATCCCTCTTTTCCTGTCTATTGTTCATCCATCCAGCTTAATGTGTAAAACCAATGTTGTGCCACAAGCTCATGCTGGATACTATCACTAAGTTACTCAACTTTTAAAGACAGTTTACTTCTATCTCTCAAATGAGTGTATTTATGTCATGTTGTGTCTGTAAGTATGCAAAGACTTTGCCAGCCTATTGTATATGCATCTGTCATCTGTTGATGACGCTAAAAGCTTGCCTTAGGGGGCGCTTCTGCCATCCAGTTGGCTTTGAGTAAGAGCTGCACTCCAACTGGTCACCAATATGTACTGTAACCATACATACTGAAAAGGCTTTACCTCGGGTACTGTTACTCTAGAAACTGGTAACCCCAACTAGCTGCACTGTAGGGATACTTTATAGATTTTAACCGTAGTTGCCTGCAGCAGTATCCTCATGTGATAGTTGTGTTTTCAGGAAGTGAAACCTAGCCGGAAGAATGGCTTCTAAAAGCTACTTGACCTTTGCACTAGGTGCTTTTAATATTTATTTTATTTAATTTGAATGATGTTTATTGTTGCTTTCAGTTTAGTAGCTGCAGTCTTGGTGCTAAATATTTGTGAACATTGAGTCAATGAATGCAGGAAAATGGAGCTCTACTTAAATGACTAAGCTCTGTGGAAGAGACATGTAGAATGAAGGGAGCGGGTATTAGAGCTCGCTGTTTGTTTGTTTTTTATGTTGACGTTTTCTTTAATTATATTATTTGCAGCTTTTGCTGTCAAATCAAAAAAATGACTTTTTTGAAAAAATAAATAATGTATGAAACCAGTTCTTATGACATTTCTTTTGTAAGAAACATGGTCTATACACATGATCAAAGCCCGGTTGTGAACATTTTTGTAGTCCAGTCTGTTTTTGACAATTAACCTGACATCAAATTTCCAGTACAGTAGTGAGATTCATTTATTTGTTTTCTTCACATTAGCTTTATTCACACTGCATTCCCAGACTCCCTCAGTCCTGCTTTTGCTGTGTGCAGCTTTGCCTTTGCTTGTGCATCTGGAAGTAAGTTGACTTGACCTGTGTTGGAAGTAACAGGGTTGTGGAGCCTCCCGGTGGCCAATGCTGCCTGCTGCAGTTTGAGCTGCAGGATGTCACTGAGCAGGGAGGTCTCTTGGTTCAGACTTGCCAGCACCTGGCCTTCTGTGGCCCTCACAGCTGCACGAACCAACGCCAAAACACCCTACAGAATGGCAGACACAATGAAACATGTTTCCAAATGCTTTCACTGGTTTTCTGTTTTGTATTCCTTTGTGAGTCCTCTTTATGATACCTCCTTGTCCAGTTGCTCATCCTCAGGAACATCAACCTCCCCCAGAGTTACCCTTGACCCTTCTCGGAGCATCTGCAGCTTCTCCTCCTTATGTCGCAACATTGAGCTGAGCTCAGCTTGATGACGCTGATGCTCCCACTCATGCAGATCTGTGCCCTGGGGCACAAGTACAGTGCATTGATCAGCAAGGGACACTTAAGCAGATGCATTAAGTTCACTGCAGCATCATTAGATATTCAAGCCCGAATCTGCATTAAATGACCCGTCTGTCAAGTTGTTAGTCTGCACTAGTCTGCCTGGTTGGTAGTCAGTCACTGATTACAAGGGGTTCATTACCTGTGCTAGAGGACAGGGTGTGGGTGGTAACTGCACCTCTAAGTGTAGCTGAGCGATGGACATGTTAGCAGCTCCCCCTACCACCGCCTGGAAAAGCCTCCGCCGGTTGATGCAGGTGTCTGTGAGGAACTGGGTGAACTTATGTTGGTGGACAGAGGTAAGGTTTGGTAAATGCTCAGGCAGCGCTTCTCTCAGTAGGGACAGTAGTTTGGGTACGTCAAGATCTGATCAATAGAAGACAAAGTCCAGAAGCCAGAGAGAAGGTTTATTAACGTACAATTTGTGCTCTGCAGCTATGAAAAAAGATCAGCTCAAAAACCTACACAGCTTCCAACTCTAAGTGTTATGGACCTGCATGAATAATACTGCATTTAATAAGACAGACAGGGAATGAATCACTGGAAATGACTCACTTAAATTTGGGTTCCAGGGTTGGAAAAAGAACATCAATTACAGTAGATGATCAATAATAACATGAATTCATATGAATTTTGTGTGTTTCTAGTGCAGAAAAGTGCAAAACCATGTTTTTGTGTTGCCATGCATAGATTTTTCAACAACACTTAGCAACTGAAATTCACAAACCGATAATAACCGACTGAATCAGTGGGTACAGAACATCACATTTGTTGCACTCTCAGGAAACACAGTGCTCTCCCTGATGGCCACATTAAGGCTCCTTGATCACGACCTCCAGGTGAAGCACTGTCACCTGCAAGGCCTCTGTACAGTACACTGCTATGTAGCTCTGACCGTCCAGCTGAGGGAAGAGGTCTTTGGCCATCACAGCTGCCCGAATCACGTCAGGCCAGGGGAAGCCACAGGCCGCAGAGAACATGGCGACTTCATACACAAACTCCTGATGGAAGCACCGGCGTTCATCGCAGAACTCGGGCCATGAGAAGTGGCAGCTGAGCCTCTGCACGCCAGCCTCTCTCTGTCAAAGCACACAGGTCATTTGTTAATTGTTACTGAATTATTGTTAATGCATTGATGTAGAAGTAGCATTTTAATGCTGTAGGTAACTCTTATCTATCTCACAACTCAAGTGCTGTCATTATGATTCACTCAGTTCACACATTGCTTTTGCCCACTGGCCTTACAAGCAAGTCGTTGGACTGGGAGGGGAAAAGTAAATGAGTATACAGGGCCGTCATGTGAGGAGGGCCCACAAAGATACTAGATCAAATAGCCATAGATGCATGGAGGGGCCAATAGAGTATGCTTATGTACAGAGCCCAGATTTTTGTGTGACGCCCCTGCTTTTCAGGTGGATTATTATACTATGTTTGGTGCATCTGTTACAGTGAACAGACTACCTGAGGCCATTATATTGTTAATTCATAATCTGCAAAGTAACTGGAGTTGTCAAATAAATCTAGTAGCGTTACAAGTACACTATTATATTCTGAAATGTAGTGGAGGAGAGATATAATGTAGCATAAAATGTAAATATTCAAGTACAAATGCCTCAAAAGTCACACACTGTATTTGAGTAAATCTACTTACATGATCTAACTGATACTTTAATAATTACAATTTCACAACTTCACAATGTAAAACATTAAGTTTAAATCGTAAGTAAGTACCTGGAAGCTATTAATAAAAGTGGTGTGAGGGAGCATTCAGTTAATGGCCCATCTGAGCTGACAATTTGTTGAAGAAAATAGATGGCCTACTATATTTCTGGCCCCAGAGATATAGTCGTCAGTTTTAGGGGCCAATGCAAGGTTTGAAGGTGAAAAGAATCTGCAAAAGCATGTTTTTTTAACTTAGCCTTAACTTACAATATGTTTAGGTTGATTATGATCGTGTTGTAAAAAAAAAAATCCTGGCAGCATTTGAAGGCACCACAATAACACGATTTTTAATTAGTAGTTAATTAATTAAACACCCGCCTACCTGGTGTCTCGCTATCTGTGCTATTTCATTCTCTGTGAGGGAATCCATCCTTAACAACCGACACAAGCGCACTGGGTTGCCATTGGAGAGGGACGCGGGCGCGTAGGTGGGACGCTGTCAACGTGATGACGTCGCACACACGTATGCATCTCTGGCTGATGGTATGTTCAGCTAGATATTTCATATTATCTGCAGCACGAAGCTTTATTTTTAAGTTAATTACTTAATGAAAAAAATACTTTTAAATCATATCAAATTCAATCAACTAATTATCCGCAATCTGTTCTAAAACATTCACATAGTTAATTAGCCTAATGAGTTCAGCTGACACCTGTTGTATCCGAGGTTTAATGGCGACTGCTTGAGACAGACTGATATTGTGTTGTCAGTGAGTTTGCTAGTAACTGATCTGTCAAATATAATTAGGTAGGTTGGTCAGTTCGGGAATGCCACAGATGGCCTCAAGCAGGTGTAATCCTCTTTAACATGAACCCCACTCCTCCTCCTCCTCCGCTCTTCTCATCTCTTCTCCACCACCTATTGTTCCTTAAGAAATAAATCGGATGAGAGAGGGTTTTCCAATGTAAAGATAACGGATTGAGATTATGTCAAACTAGCCATATCAACATTACACCATTTCCGGTGGTGCATTTACAAATAAAGGTTGTTTAGCCTTTATTGTTGTTTAGCTGAATTACAAAACCTGTTTTATACTTGTAAAAACTTTATTGCAAATCAAAACAGACTAAGTGAGCAGTAGTAGCTTCTTGAAATGCATTGCTGTGTTGGTTGGTAATAGTGGTTCTGCTAAATCACAGGTAATTTCCATAGCAGGTCCAAGGTGGATTCAGCTTTCTGAATAATGATTTTATCCCGCTGGGGGGGGGGGGGAGTCAAATTTCAATATGAACAATTCTGTTTCTGCACACTGAAAACAGACACTTTTTATTTTTATTCTATACATGTAATGCAAGTAGCCTAATCCTTTTTTGGATATTGGGCACTTTTCCAAATCTGCAGTGTTGGGGAGTAGCTACATGCAGTTTAAAATAAATGGAACTGTAATTCGTTACTAGGATAAATGTGTAATTAAATTACAGTTACTCATGATTCACATCCGAATATTTTATGTAAAAAGCTAGGCTAGGCTTTGTTGAATAACATTCATTTGTTGCTTTACATGTTTTTTCAGAAGAAATTTTGAAAAGTAATCAAAAAATAACTAAATGTAATAAGTTACTTTGAAAGAAATAGTTACACTACTGTTAGGCCTACATTTTAAATAGCGTAACTTGCGATGTGTAACCTAGTCTGATTATGTAAAAATGATGCTGTCCCATTATTTGAGCTTTTCCACATTAGATTCTTTATACAGAATCTTCCAGCTAATGTATCTGATTTAGTTAATCTAGTCATAATCGTGGGCAATTTCCATATTCACACATTAAAGATGAAACAAACTGTTTGAAAAAACTTATATACGTAAATGTCTCAATATTTAACCTATTATTTTGAATGAGAGCAGATCTGTATGGCTTTATGAGTGTTACTAATGGTTGTAAATATTATGTTAATGTATCCGCTACAAACTGCAATCAAAGACAGTATAAAAACTGCGATGCAATATTAATTTGAAAGCCTAAATCAGTGTACTTCCGCTCTTTAAGCCGCCGACTTGACGCATACCTGAACGTGCGCCTTATGTCTATGATCACCGGGGGAAGCTGAACGCGCAGCGCTCTGCTGTGGTCGGTGTGTCTGACGGAGCGGTGCACGCTCACTGCTGACTTTTATATCTCACCATTTGTTTGTTTTCTGGATCTATAATCGCCGATTGATCTTCCATCACTGCTGCGGGTATGCCTCTATAAAGGTAAGCTTGATCTCTTTCTTTTCCCTCAAACTCCTGCTGCTTTAAAAACTCCCACAGAGCTGGAGCTGTAGTGGGTGTCAGTGTTTTTGTGTGTACCAGTGTATGCACGTTGTTAATGTCTGCTGACATCTTATATAGGCCCTATCTGTTTTAAAAACTATTTACATATAGACGCTATACAGTATGTATATTGTGTGTGTGTGAGAGGTCCAGTTGGCTGAGGTGAGTCACACACACACACCTGTTTATGGGACCAGAGACAGAGCAGGAGGGATTGATGAACAAAAGTAGGCCACACATCACATAATCTCTCCTTTGCTTTCCTCTTCCTTTGTCATGCTGACTGAACCAATTAGCCTCCAGCACTGACAAGTTCTCACTATCTCTAAAGCCTGTGACGGGGCAGGTGCTGAAAGTTTTTGCATGATGAAGTGTCTGTGCTGTTGTGTTATACCAACAAATACAACGCAGAAGTGATGGTTTCCTTGATTTATCCACAAGGAATACCCATTAGCATTAGCACCAACAGTTTCCCAGAGAGCGGCTGCCTGCCTCCTCGCTCCTGTCAGCACAGGATCTACTCATCCCTGACTTCCTGTCTACCCAGAAGTCTCTGAGGCCCACCTACTCTTTCTCGGTCTCTCATTAAAGCTGTGAAGCAGATACAGATTGATGAGATTAGGAGTTACGTAAATATGGATTATGCAATTGTGTGCTTATTTTAAATGAATTAGACTCTTATTTTAACTTTTTAATATCAAATAATGAGTGTCTATTATTGCAGTTACAGTTCATGTACTACACATAAAGGTTCAGTGTTTTAGATTTAGGGAGCTCTATTTGCAGAATGTGGCTGCACACTTGGAACAGGGAGGGTAAGGTGAGTAAGGTGGGTATTCAAATCAAAAATCTAAATGCTACGCACTGCTCCTTTAAAAGCTGCTCAGATTAATATTTTTATGCTAACAATATATCAAATTACTGCTTGTATATCACTCTGCCGTTCCCCTCAGTTTCAGTTTGTACGGCCTGCAGCGTGACTCTTTTGTTTCACTCTCACCGCTCTCATCAGCATCATTTCCAGACTCAGCATGCAGCTGCTTCCCTTGCTTTCTATTGATAACCTGAGAAGCGTTCGTTGCTGCTCGTTATCAGAAGAGAGGAAGTTAATTAGAGTAACTAAGTTCAAGTATGTTTTCAATTGTGGGGTCTTCTTGGCCTTGTTCCGATGTACCTGGCCGTATTGGCCCATTTTTCCTGCTTCTAACACAACTTTGAGGACACAATGTTTACCTGCTGCCTAGTATGTCCCACCCACAACAGGTGCCATGATAATGATATAATCAGTGTTATTCACTATACCTGTCAGTGGTCATAATGTTATGGCTGATTGGTGTATGCCAATTTTGGCTTGTTGTTGGCCCCAAGTGGACAAAAAAAATCAATGAATGTAGGTTTAGGTATACCTTTATTGTATGCTTAGTATACTCCAATACATTTATTCTGAGGCCCTACACACTTTTTCACTTACTGCCTGATTACAGCTCCTCTCAGGATGCTTGATTGACATCTCCCTCCCTCTCCTACCAGTTTTCAGTGCGGGAAATATTTGTATGTTTACTGTTTGCTTTTACTTTACCTTATTCCTGCTGTCCACAAGTTATGTTACACATCTACTCAGTTATAATTCCAACCTTATACCTAAATATAGCTTTTTGTTGCATGTTCATTCAAACAGGGTCAAAGAAGTAAAGGAAATAGGGACATGACAAAAACAGATTGAAAATATGGTAGGTTTTTTGCTCACACTAGTGGTGTTTTGCTCAGTAGTGATGACCAAGCGGTCATGATTTGCTCACCGTCAATTCAGACGTCCAGACCGCTCCAATAACGACAACTTGTTTGCCATGACGCATTCAACAAGAGCAGTTGGTGTTTTCGGTGATTTCAGAAGGCACCCTGCTGTCTGACAGACTGTCTGTAATTACAATCCTCTCCAACTAGAGCCGTGTGTGTGTGTGTGTGTGTGTGTGTGTGTGTGTGTGTGTGTGTGTGTGTGTGTGTGTGTGTGTGTGTGTGTGTGTGTGTGTGTGTGTGTGTGTGTGTGTGTGTGTGTGTGTGCGAGAGAGAGAGAGAAAAAGACAGAACAAAGTAGACAGAGAGCAATATGTGCTGAAAACCTTAGATCTTTGTACCATGTACATGTTAGATGGTTTTCTTCCCTCACCTTGACGCACACATATCGACGGTACAAACTGACCACTAGAGGCCAGGCCAGCTACGGCAACTTAAAGCTAATGGGTGAAATGGATTTGTGAAAATTTCTCCTTCCTTTACCCTCACTAACTCAAACTGCAGGAACATTTCAGTTACGATTAAGTTTACCAAATCATCCTTTAATATATTTTCCCTCCCACCCACCTGGGTATAAGTTAGAATAAAAGAAACAATACAAATTGCAAATTAGCATGTGCTTCTTCTCCAGGTCAGGTGCGTAGTGCATAAGAACATCACTTTTGTCACCACCATCTTGGCCTCACCATAGCAACCCCCCTCCTTCTCCCACACACGCACACACACACACACACACACACAGGTCCTTAAGCAGGCTTTTTGTTCTATCCTTAGCCTCCCCCTCCTGTCTTCTCCTCTCCCTTCATTTTTCCTCTCTCCACTCGCTCCCCCCTCCTCAGTGTGCCCAAATACTGACTGCCATTTTACCCAGAGAGCTGTGGAACCAGGGGCTCTGCTTTGCATCTTAGTGTATGACTCAAGCTGCAGAGATAGCCGCCACACACACACATTCAGACACATAGTGCTTACTCCTGGTCTGAGTTGACCTGTCAGACCCTGCACGGACAGAAAGAGCTTCCCTCCGGCGTTTTCACATCTCTTTGGACCATGTTTCCTGAATATGTGAGTAGTAGATAGAAGTAAACTGGTGTAATAATGGTGTACATACTTGTTAAATGTTAGATGAATGAATTGTGGTCATATTAGTGGTAGAAATCCTTAAATTCATATGTAAGAATTAACAAAAGGTATTATTTTAACTAAATTGGTTAATAGTGGTACAAATAGTTCTTTAGGTGACGTTAAAGTTATAAAGACGGGTTTGTAGTTAACATATAATAACAATGGCTTAGTGGTAAAATAATCAATGGTGCAATGGTAATATAATGTGTTAAAACATTTTGATACATAGTGGTAAAAGAGAGTCTGCAGTTACTTATTATTATTCATTATTTTTGATGTTGTGTTTGAAAGGTTCCCCTTTTGCTGTTGCTATTATGCTCAAAAATGTGGCTCATGATATAATTTATTGTTAAAATTACTAATTAATGTGCCATCAGTTTGTATGTTTTCAGGCCTCAGCAGGGAAAAGAATTGAAAGTTAACGTGTGCAGGTCTTTCAAATTCTAAATGTAAAAGTACAGGCCTACTTTCAGATCAGCAGCTAATTAGATTCTCCTTCATCCCAATTTCTTTGTGAACATTTTGTAAAGTCCTCTGTAACCAGCCCTGCCAGCGTCCTCGTCACCCAGTTCAAATGCATTATTTAGATGGAAAAAAGTTATTTGCTGCCATGGCTCTTTTTAAAAAAAAATCATGTAGTTAAACAGTTGGTTAGACTGTTGCATTTCCTTCAGCAGCTAAACGAAGCGTTAGGTTGTTTAGAGAGACAGCTGAAGTGGGATTAAGAAGCACAGCGTCACGTTGGAAGTGTCTACAGCTAAGAGCAGTGATTTGGCCTGCAGTCTGGCCTCAAGGAACCTAAAAGCCTGCTAAGCCTGTTGATAACATTCACCTCCTTTCATAGGTTATTGAAAGTCATCACAGTTAACAGTCATGCTTAACATTGTGATCATTCTATTGGATTTAAGAAGTGAGGTGTCCCTCTGGGCTGATCACTGTAGTCTCCTTTACTGATTCAGGCAACACCTGTTGATATTGCAGTCATTATTATTGTATCTCATATCAGGGACACATGATTTGTTTTGTTGTAAAGTTTAAAGTTGGTCTTGTCTAAGCTTCAAACTCTGTTAGCATGTGTGTGATTATACAATTATCCAAATGCACACAGACCTGTGAACCCCGTCAATACAAAATACAAAAGTATACATTTTTAGTACTACTCTGTAAAGCAGTCGGTTGTGCGGTTATAAAACAAAGTGAAACAGTGTGACCTACGTCCTGTATATTATGCAAGCTGGTTTATGTTGGCTGTGCAGAGTCAGGACAGAAACGTTTCACGTCCGTTCCAAACAGGATTTCTAGATGTGTTCTAGTCCGCTCTGTTAAATATAGCAGGCTGTGGGAAGCTTTAAATATATATATATAGATGTCCATGGAGCTACATTTGATATTGTCAGTCACAGTTTTCTGTTATAGTTCTGTTAAAGTTTTTACCAAATCATCACTTACAAATCTGGCAATTTTTGGCAGGCTGGCGTGTAAGTTGGATTTGGAAATGACTTTGTAGAAAATGCTTCCCCTGCCAAGAAGACATGTAACCATGTCAGTCCTGTTAGAGGATGTGCTGTCCTGGCTCCTCAGTCAAACACCCTGATTAGGAGTTGGGACCTTGAGTGTGATTAGAAAGTATGTGAACAGGAAAACTAAAGGCAGTGTAACACATTAAATATGGTAACATATAAATATATCAATAATAAAATGGTAAATCTATTCAATTGAAGTACACTTTTGTTATTGTAAATGATGATAAATACACCACACTTAAACTGTATATGTGTTTGTGTGTGTGTGTGCAGTTTAAGTTAGTGGCAAGGCAATGATAGTGATAAAACACTTGGGTGGGGTATTTTAGATATATATATCTGTTTTGGTATTTAACAACCTCTTTAGATTCCGTATTGCTCGTTTGTGTACATCCCTCAGGTGTGTGTGAGATCGCAGCATGCATACGGTCCGGGCAGGGGTGTGGGAACCCCAGCCCCCGTCTAAATATGTCTCGCCCCTTCCTCCACCACCCTCGTCCAACTTACGCCTTGCCCATGTGACCACAGCCTCTCCGGCCAAGCGGATCACCTTCTACAAAAGCGGCGACAGCCAGTTCGGGGGGCGTCAGGATGGCAGTCCACAAGCGCAGCTTCAAATGCTTTGACGCCCTGCTGGACGACCTTTCCCAAAAGGTTGGGTGTGACTGCTCTCAGAGCTGTGATGTAGATATTTCTTTTGAAGTTGACTGTGTAGATGCATCTGGACTGTTCTCAACTTGGCAACAGATCTGCTTCTTGAAATTTTCACCTTCTGGTAGAGATTCCTCTTATTATTTTGGGAAAAACTATTTTAAATGTTTTATATTGGTAATGTAATTTATGAGATGTAATGGTAGATACGTGTGTGTCCACATATAGGTGCCCCTGCCCTTTGGCGTGCGGACTGTGACCACTCCCCGCGGCATCCACGCCATCAAACACCTGGAGCAGCTCCAGGACGGCGGCTGCTACCTCTGCTCTGACCGTCGCCAGGCTAAGCCAGTCAACATGGAGCTGTCCAGCAAACGCCCAGGCATCTGGTACCATCACAGCCGTAGGCCCCAGCGGCCCGAAACCTCGTCCGCAGCACCGCCCGGCCATTTGCCTTACAGGCAGCGACGGATCCTGCTGGTGAAGAACAGCGAACCTGGGATGAGGAGGAGCGTGGTGCTGAGCAGGAGGTCGACCCGGAGCCTGCGGGCCTTTCTTGATGAGGTGTCTGAGGTGATGCAGTTTCACGTACGCAAGCTGTACACTGCAGAGGGACGCAGGGTAGGAAGTGTTTTTTTTTTTTTTAATGTGTGGTCAAGATTTAGAGTGTGTTCTGTATTGAAGATGACACCCTGTGTAGTGAAAACTCCTGACACTGTGAATCTGTTTCCAGATTGACAGCGTGCAAAGCCTGGTGGCTTGTCCTGGTGTGTTGGTGTGTGTCGGCCGGGAAGCCTTCAGCCCATTGCTGGTAAACTTCATCAGCAAGAGCTCAGAGGAAAAACTGCCTGGTCTGAGCAGCCGGTCCCCAGGCCTTGGCCCCAGGACTCCTGGAAACGGGGCCCGATCTCCTGCTGTTCAAGGACCAAGATCCCCACCTCACGGAGCTCAGTCCAGAGCCAGCGAATACAATGAAGGGCATGAAAGCAAGAAAAATGGTAATGGCGGTAAGTTATTTGGTCTTCACAAAATGTATAATGTATATACACATTCACAAACCTCAATTTCAACTGCAGACCTAAAATAACTAAAGGAGTAAGAATGAAGTTACATTTACATTTGTTTTTCTCTCTCTCTGTTTAGTTAACTTTGGTCTAGAAACCAAAAAAAGCATCATCCACCCTCGTTCAGATTCCTCAAACCGCTCCACCCGTTTCTCCTTGTCTTCAGAGAAGTCATACGGCAATGGTGTCAGCACCTACTCCCAGGCCAGGCCGGCTATTATGAACGAGGACATTGAAAAGCGTGTCCTGGTCAATAAAGATGGCAGCCTCTCAGTAGAGATGAGGGTGCGTTTTCGCCTACAAAATGACGAGACCCTCCAGTGGTCTACCCAAATCAAAAAATCCCCATCGCTGACCAATGAATGTTGCCCCCTGAGCCAGGCTCAGCCCAGTTACCTGCAGCAGGGTCAGTCAGAGAGCTGCTCTGACCCTGATTCCACATCCTTTGACCCTGAGTGTGTGGATTATTCCAACCAACCGCTGCAGTGTTCATTGGAGGGGAACAGCTGCCCCTGCTGTTACCAGAGACAGGAACAGAAGTATGACTTGTGGGAAAACCCAGTACACAGCTACAAACGCCCTCCTGTCCCTCCCCCACGTGCACCCAGCCACACCCACACTATGACGAGACACACACACTCATCAAGCTCATCTTCATCATGTAATTCGAGGAGGGTGGTGCGCTGTCGAGCACAGCTCTCCAGCTGCGGAGGGGGCTCAGGTTCAGAGCAGAGCCAACTTGTCCAAGAGGAGATGTGTGTGACACAGCAGGTTGAGCGCAGGGTAGAGGTGGAGCAGGATGGAGACACCCACGTAGAGGTGTGCAAGGTGAGCCGATGCTGCAGCCGCAACCTACGACCACTTAGCCGGAAGTCAGTGGAGGATGAGCTACTGATGGAGGAACAGGGGGAGCGTCCTTTTTCTACAGTCAGCAGCTCCTCACGTGTCCTGCAATCGCTGAAGGAGGACCTGGATGATGACCTGCCCCCCAGCGCCTCACAGTGCTGCCATAGCAATGAACCATCCCCGTCCCCATCCTTCGTGACAGACCTGAATGACGAACCAGCGAGCAGCGTCTTGGCAGGTTCCATCCACTCTACCGACCACAAGGAGGGGGAAGAGAGAGGAAGCAGGGCGGTATCTGCAGCCTCTTCCTGTCACTGTGGAGCAGCTGAAGCAGAGGAGATGGATCAGGCTTCCAGCTCCATGTCTAAAAGGAGCAGGTTATCTTGCAGGTCCAGCAAAGCCAAGATCCCAAACTCAGAGGAAGAGGCAGTTGCAGATGATGAGGACGAAGAGCTAAAGAGGGTTGCAAGTGGCTTGTCTGGTCACACAGGACTTTCTGCAGGCTCTCTGCAGTCAGGGCCATCCAGTGTATGTCCTAACTGTGGAGGCTGCAAACGTCCGGTCGACTCTGTGTCCAATAGCAGAGCATCACAGAGGTCCCATCATTCCCCCCGAGCCTCTCCAAAGCCTGCCACACCTCTCTCCAACCAAGAGAATGCCGATAACAACAGTGATGATGACGGCTCAGATGTTTCGGCTGTGTCAACGCAATCCAACAAGACCAACCTCTCCAAACACGGGCGCTTTTCTGCAATGTCAGATGTCCCGGAGGGCCGAGCATCTAGTGCCATGTCCACGACGTCCAATCCTGAGGCAACAGGAAAAGGGGAAGAAAGGGCTCCTAGCGCCGCCTCAGCCACAAGCCACAGGTCCAATAGATCACACAAGTCTGGCTGTAATGAGGAGGAGAGGAGCCCCAGTGCCATTTCGGCTCAGTCCAACCTGTCTGCCAAGTCAAGGAAGTCTCACAAGTCTAAGTGCAGCAGCACAGCAGAAGTCAGGACAAGACAGGAAGCAGAGGGAGAGAATGCTGTAGAGAGAGCACTTAGCTCCTTGTCAGCCAAATCTGGTGCGTCGGTCAAGTTAAGTATACAGTTTGCCTCCCCGACTGATTGTGAAGAGGATGACACAAACCAAAGAACTCTCAGCGCCCTCTCTGTTAAGTCTAATGCTTCTGTCAAACCTGACAAGGCAGAAAGACCTGAAAGTGTCCTGTCTGCTAAATCAGCTAAATCAACTCAATCGAATGTGTCAGCAAAGTCCGGCACATCTCGCAGGTCCACTTGCAGTCATTGTGTGAGAGCAGTATCTCCAGGTGATAAGGCAGCAGGTGAACCCGTTATCGAAGCAACAGGACTGGAAGAAGGAACGCAGGCAGAGGCGAGAACAGCCAGTGCTATGTCAGCCAAGTCCAATCTATCTGCCAAGTCTCATAAATCCCATAAGTCCACCAAAGCTGCAGAAAGGTCACTTTCTCCCAGGTTGGAAACTGGAGGAGATGGAGAAGAAAGTAAAGCGAGTCAAATGTCAGTTAAATCTAACTTGTCTGTTAAGTTTTCAAAGTCATGCAAGTCTAACTGTCATGTCAATGAAACTGCAGAATCTCCAATATTAGGGGCAGCTGAAGTAAAAGAAAATGAGATGGCAGAAGAGGAAACACAGCAGAGGCCTGAAAGTGTAACTAAATTGGAAAATAAAGAGAGGGCAGCCAGTGCAGGGTCCTCTAAATCTCATAAATCCGCCTGTAATGAGAGCGCAGGAGCAAGTTCTGAGACAGAAGACAATACAGGAGGCGGTGAAAAGGCTGAAGACCGGGCTGCTAGTGCTTTATCCGGTAAATCAGCTTCCTCTGCAAAGTCTCAGCACCCAGATTGTGACGCATGTTCAAGAGTGGCCTCTCCAGCTGAAGGCACAGGGAAGACAGAGGTGGACAGCATGGAGGACAGAACCCACAGCGCCCTGTCAGGGAAATCGCATACCTCTGCCAAGTCTTCAAAATCTCAGAAGTCAAACCGCACAGTGGCATCACCAAATGAAGAAGAGAAGCAAAATGAAAATCAAGAGAGCGTGTCTAGTGCCATGTCTGTAAAGTCAAAATCTTCAGTGAGGTCCAGCACTTCTCACAAGTCAAACTCGAGCAAGAATCTCAAATCGGTGTCACCAAGTCCAAATGCTATCACCATTAAAACATCAGAAGGGGTCGATGAGGAAGAAAATGAGACAACAGTGAGGGCACCGAGTGCTGCATCAGCAAAGTCAGGGAAATCTAAAGTTTCATCTGCTTCATCCAATCATAACAAAACAGCTGATATTGCTGTTATTGAAACAGTAGATGCAGATGAAAAGGTTGAGGAAGACAACGCACCAAGAAGTAAATCTTCTGAACAATCTGGCCAAATGCTTGCACGCAAAAGCACGCGTTCCCCACGGACCCATTCACCCAAAGCTCCAGCTGTATCCCCCAGCGGTGCCTTGTCAGTTCACTCCACAACCCCTGCTAAATCTGGCAGATTGAAATGCTGCTGCGGAGCAGCTTCAGCACTTGAAAGGGCAAAAAAGGAAAAGGAGGGTGAGGATAAGGAGGTGGAGAAAAAGGAAGATAACGACGAGCTGAAAAGTGAGGAGGCTTCAGAGCGGCCTGCCAGCATCCTGTCGTCCTCAACCAAAAGACACAGGAGAGAATCAGGAGGCACGGAGCAACCGCTAAGTCGAAATTCATCGGGGTCAGTCTCTCTGGGGTTGCCAGATGACCAAGAAACACCTGACTCAGACAGTGGCAAGTCTGGTGTTTCGTTTCACATAAACACTGACCGTAGGAGCAGAGTGAATACAGCAAATCTTGATGTCCCCAAAAACATAGAGCAGTCCGCTATGGATGAAGACGAGGAGGGAACAGGGTCCAGCTGTAATGGAAGTAAAAGCACTTTATCTCAAAATCCTCCAGCCATTGATATCCCTACTATTGAAACCACAGCGGGGAGTGAGGATAAAAGTGAAGAAGGTGGAGAACTAAAAACAAAAAGAGCGGCCAGTACATTTTCAGCCAAAAGCAGCAGGTCTCACAAGTCTTCTTGTAACTGCAGTGTCAAAGCAGCAGCTCAGCTGCTCGACAATAAGTCCAAAGAACAACATACTAGTGCTAGCTCGACAAAAGCTAGTAATCTGGACGCCCCGGTCAACAGGACCTCATCTGCAATGTCATCACCAAGTGCTAAAGTTCGGAGCAAATCCCCTGCAAGTGCCAGCTCTAAAAATGCCAATGTAGGAGAAGTAACTGTTGAGGATTCAGCAAATAACTACACCGAAAACCAGGCTGCCAGAAGACCAGCTAGTAAGGCCAAAGGGAAAGATGATATTGCAGACAACAAGGTAGACAGTGTCCTCTCCAAGAGTCCCTGTTGTCTCAAGCCTGAGTCGGCAGCTTCGGCTCACTCAGGCTCAAAGGAGAGCAAAGGCGGGAAGGCCAAATCCAGTGGCAGTGTCAAGACATCGAATTCTCAAAAGAAAGAAACGCCTATCAAATCCCCAAGCCCCTGTTCTTTACACAGCTCCAGACCAGGTAGCAAAATGGAAACGGACAGTCAGAGCACCCTGTTTCACTCCCTGTCCGCTGCTGACCTGCTGAAGGAAACCATGGCTGCTGCGCGTCCACCCAGCCAACAGACGACGGCCAGCAAAACCAGCGACAAGCCAAGGAGCGAGAAAAGTGGGAGGCATCAGAGGAGGAACAGGAACCAGGCGGATCTGGAGGAGGTGCTGGACTTGACACCTGCCTTTCTGCCCAACGCTTCCCCTAATGAGGTGGTCAGTGACTGGCTGCGGAGCATTCCCACTGACAGCAGCATGCTCGCACTTGGTGATGAGCTGAATGACGAAGAGGAGGGGCAGGAGAAGGTGGCGGAGGAGAGACATGTTGATGAGGGGAACGAGGAAGAGGTGGAGCAGGAGGGGGTGGTGGAAGACAAACTTGGTGAGGAGCTGAACGAGGAAGAGGTGGAGCAGGAGGGGGTGGTGGAAGACAAACCTGCAGAAGAGGAGGAAGTTGAGGCTGAAGAGGAAGAAGAGAAAGAGGAGCAAGCTGAATGTGATGCAGCAGAGGAGGAGAAGAGTTCAGATCCAGCTCCGGTTAAGGCAGTGGGGGCTTCTTCCCGCCCCAGCGCTCTGTTGTTGAGCGGCGAGTCTCTGCCCAGGAACTGGCAGTCTTCAGCTGCGGTGATGAAAGTTCTTCTGAGCTCTTCTCTGGGTCGATGTCAGAGCATGCCTGAGGTAAGCCAGTGACCATATGCGAAGGACTTTTAAGCTGCGTTTACACTGCAGGCCTTAATGCTAAATCCCGATTTATTGCTAAGATCTGATTTTTTTGATTGACTGTTCACATTATTTGGTTAATGTGGCCCGTATCAGCACGCTTTCATACAAAAGTAAACATGGAGGCCACTCGTTATTTTCTTTCCTGACAGAGTTTCGACAGCTCTGCCTCTGATAGGTTAGGGTTGGTTAAGGTTAGGATTAGGGTGGGGTTAAGGTTAACCAATGAGAGGCAGAGTAGGGGACAGGACTTAACGCAAAGCCGGTGTCAAATGAGAGTTGTCGAGACTCTGACAGGGTTTTGCAACATGTGCATGCTAGTTGTCCGGGTAGTGCTTATACACACTGTACAGAGACAGTAATAAAGGCAATAAAAAGTTGTTAAAAACTTTCATAAATCAGGAGAAATACGAAAAATCAAGAGAGTTGTGATCCCGGGAGGGATCGCAAAGGGAAAAGATCCGATCTTCTTCGTCACCTATGAGCAAAAAGATCTGATTTGTGTCACTTTGGTCTGCAGTGTGAACGCAGCCTTTCTCTACATGATCATGTAACAAAACATTTCCTATTCTATTTTGTGGAATTATTACAAAAAAGGAATCAAGGTTCCGGCGTTAGGATGAAACTGTTAAAGCTACATCTAACAACTATTTGCAATATAATGAATAAGAGCTTTTTTGTCAAACCAATAGTCTAAAACCCAAAGATATTTAGTTTAATATTATAAAAAACTGTCATTTGAGAAGCTGGAACAAAGGATGTTTGATAAATAACTTGAGCAATTCAAAATGTTTCAGTAATTGACTAATTCATTATTTTTTTTGGCAATATCTATATTCTCCGCTGTCTTCTGTAGGTGTCTCCAGTTTATGGTCGTAGACTGAGCACATCAGCTAGGGGGCTCCTGGACTGTTTGGCTCAGCTCCAGCTCATTGACCCTGCAGTGAGCCCATGCTGTGAGCAGCAGAAGGACCGCAACCAGCAGTATGAGGACATTATGACCATCCTTCAATCCCTCTGGCTCACTGAACCCAAGGACATTGAGGCCACTGAGGTCAAGGATATTGGCAAAGATCAGGTGACTCCACCGAGGTCCTCATCTGGGGTGGATATGAGCACTGGCTCCGGCGGATCAGGGAAGGAGGATGGAAATAAAGGTGGAGATGAGACGACGCAAAACAAAACAAAAGAGACAGACTCTTTACATGAGGATGAGGGGGCGGAGAAGGTTGTAGAAGAGGAGGAGGAAGGAAATGCAGAGGCACAACACAAGGAAACTAAGTCAGAACCAGAGGAGATATCGACAGAGCAAGCTAAGACAGACATAGCAGAGGAGCTGGTACAGAGTGAAGAACAAAGTACAGTCCCTCCAAGTCTGGACAGCCCAAAAGCCTCTGACAATCCCTCATCATCAGACAAGAGCTCTGCTAATGACAGCTCAAAATCCCCCACTGATAACGAGACGCTGGAGGACTCCAGCTCAGGCACGCCCCCGACTGTCCTGCGAGCACCTTTGTCAAAAAGACCATCCCAAGACCCTGATCCGAGGTGGGTCCTGCACCTCCTGAAGAAGCTGGAGAAACAGTTCATGAACCACTACATTAACGCCATGGCGGAGTTCAAAGTTCGTTGGGACCTGGACGACAGCCTCATCCTGGACACCATGATATCTGAGCTGAGGGAAGAGGTGAGCCGTCGCATCCAGAGCAGCATTGAACGCGAGATGAGGAAGATTCAGGGTCGTGCCGGCAGAGGTGGCAGGTCGCCCCGGCCGCCGCAAGGTGGGAACCTCTCCAGGGAGTCCACCATGACAGACAGAAGGCGTCAAATGTTGAAGGTAATTCCACCACAAATCCTTTTTCATAAAACAAGAAACTGCTGCTTGTAAGGCAGAAAGATAACGTTTGATTTATTTTTCAGATCATGAAGAATCAGTCGGTGAAAACTGGAGACTCCCTCAGCGATGGTGAGATGACGGGTGAGTTCAGCGACCAGCGAAGCGATGATGAGTATTGCCCCTGTGACGCTTGTGTCCGCAAGAAAATGGCCGCCCGGCCGCTCAAAACAAACCCGATGGCAGCCGAGGCACCGGTGATGATGGAGTTCGACCTCCTGAAGATACTGCAGCTAAAGAAAAGCCCATCACCTGTGCCTGCAGACGTGCCACAACCTGCAAAGGGGGAAGATGATACCGTGGTTGTAGATGAGCAGGGGAGGAATTTAGAGGTTCTGCAGGAGGAAGAGGAGGAGGATGAAACTAAAGAGGATATCAAAGCTGATGAAATAGGAGAAGAAGTAGAAGGGGGAGAGGCAGGAGAAGAGGAGGAAGTAGGAGCAGAAAATGAGGGAAATAGGTTGGGCGATGAGGAGCAGGAAGAGGAAGAAGCAGGTGGTGAGGAAGCTGAGGTGGTAGAGACATCCGAAAATGGAGAGAAGGAGGGAGAGGAGGAGACGGAATGCCAGTGCCAGTGTGCCAGACATGAGGAGGAGAGCGACAAAGCAGAAGAGTCAGAGGAGGGAACAGCAGAAGGAGAGGATGCTGCAGAAACTAGCGACAAGACAGGTGAGGATGAGACAGCAGAGGATGAAGAGAGAGCAGGGGAGGAAGAGGGAGAGAACGCAGAGAATGAAGGGGAGACAGGGGACAATGATGGAGAGGAGGAGTGTGCAGAGGTGGAAGAGTTTGAGGAAGAAGAAGAAACGACAGGCAGGGAAAGCGGAGAAGAAGAGGCAACTGGGGAAACGGAGGACGACGGGGCTGCAAGAAATGAGGCAAACGAAGAATCCACGGCGGTGGAGGAGTTTGTGGAGGGAAATGTCAGCGCTTCGGCTGAAGCGGGGGATGAAGACGATGGGGACGACGGCACCGGGGAGGGGGAGTCCCATGAAGACGAAAAGGGAGGAGAGAGTGAAGAACCGCAAGGGGAGGCATCAGAGGAAGAAAGAGCCTCACTACAGGTAGGATGAATCAAATACAAAATAACTTTAATCAGTAATCATTCTGAGGCAAGAAAAGACGAGATTAACTTTCAGCTAAAATTGAACCAAAACACTATGTGTACACAAAAGTTAACTGCTGAGATCTGGGAACGCTGCAACATAATGCCTGCTAATCAGGCGGGTTAACGAACACGATCAAACAAATTTTATTTTGAAGAAAAAAACACAGGAAAGCGGGAAAATGACTACCCAAGCTGCGTGTTTTAAAACATCCATCACAGTTTACAGACCGACTTCCTGGCTCAACTTCGAGATGCCGTATTTGCTGTAGTCTGGCACACACACCGTTTTCCGGTAACTATGTAAACTCTAAATAAATGGGTTATAACATAAACAACATTTATAAAGTAGTTACAGATAGATAGAGACAGAGATATGAGGGCTTTTTAAGAAACAAAATGGATGATCAAAGAAATAATGAGTGATGAAACTATAATAAACTGATACAGTTGGTACAAAGATGAACATTTATAAATTATTACATTTATTAATGAAATATTTGTTATATTTTTATAAATACTTGCTTCTTTACTCTCTGTGACAACTGAGCAAACTCATCTGTTCATAAAGACACGTTTTGAATGCAATTATGAACTATTTTAAATCCGACTGTCAATCATGTGTATTAACAGTTAAAAACAAACTGTGAGAATTTGTTCTGTGTTATACTGTTATCAATTATATATTAACTTATTATGCAGCAGTTATACAATTGATGACAAATACATTTATTAACTGTTCACACTTACTGCGTAGGGGAAGGGGTTTTCAAGTAAAGCGTTCCCCGGTTTCCTTTCCAATGAGTGAAGTATTTTTAATCTGAAAGTTTAATAGCGGTGTGGTCTGCTATAAGATGACTATTAACTTAAACACAAAATTTGTTCTTTGAAGTAACTGTTTTTTTAAATTAGGTTGGATCACATAAGGGACTGTTCTAGTTATGTACGCCAATTTGAGCACCACAGAGCGCCTGCACATGGCTGCAGCGTTAACGTCTACTGTACCTTAAAGAGTAAGCTGACCTACATCAGCTCTATCACTAATGCTAAGCCTGTGGGAAAAGATAATCTCGCTATCCAATTACACAGACTGAACTGTAACAGACAGACTGTTTAACTGCAAAAAGCTTCTGTGTAACAGGTTCTCATACTTTAAATCATTGTGATTCATCTAATTTATGGACCAATCCTGTCACCAACATGTAGCAGCAATTATTGACCCAGTAGTGCCCAATTTGGGTAATTACAATTACTTAGATAATTTTCTTGTCATCTTGTTTAACCCTCAGGGTCAGGGGGTGACAGAGGGAGAGGAGGCCGACGCCGAAGACTCAGACACTGACAAACGTCCAAGTGACACCAGTGCGGACGAATCTGGACGTGAGGGGGCTGGAGCCACAGGAGACGAGGAGGAGAAACAGGGCGCAGGAGATGGAGATGAGGTTGTGGAAGATGCTGTTGAAGAGTTCAAGCCTGAGGAAGAGGAGGAGGGAGCGGTTAAGAGAAACAGCAGGGAGGATGGCGCTCTCCTCCATCAGTTCACCAGGACCTCGGTGGAGTCCCAGCCCGGCTCCTTGGAGGAAATTAACACAGATTCACCTCAAAACCCTGTAAACTCCACAGAAGTGCCCAAAATGGCTGCTGATGTATCCACTGGTGGTGGTACGGGCCAGAGGAGGAGCCGGTCGCCGGCCAGGGTCAAACGGCGCAAACCCAAAGAGAGTGACGTGGAACTGGATCACTCTTAACTCGCACAGAAACAAAACCTTATGATGCACAGACTTCAGAAGGTTCCCATAAACCCTTGCTCTGTCTGTGACTACACGGGTAGATTTATGTAGGTTAAAAAAAGCTGTTACTGAAAACAAAGACTCAAACACTTGAAGCACTTTATCACTCCAGATCCAGTGTAGGAGGAGTCACAGTGAATAACATGTAGAAACTTGAAACCACATCCTTATCCTACTTAATTATATGAATTATATTTGTAATGGTTATTTATATATTTTTTAAGTTAATTGTATGAATGACGATATATGACTATTTCTGTACTGTATGTGTATGAATCAGGTATATTTTTGAAAACAAAACAACTGACACCTATGAGTGTATTATGTAAACTCAGTTTTGTGTTCAGTGGACCACAGGTTTAATGATGTATTGAATCATAGAGCCATTAAGTTAACAAGTACCTCAGAGATATGTTAGATGTTAATTGACTGTTCCAGTAGTGTTCGCCAGAACCGGTGTGTTGATACTTGGTTTATGTATTAGGTCAATTCTCAATAAGTTGATGCTGTATTCTCAGGGGTTTGGACAGCCACTTTGCTCTTGAAAGGTAATCTCCTAGCCGTTACTTAACTACCTACTTAAATCTGTAGTCTGTAAAGAAGACCTCTGTTTATAATTGTACTCGAGCTCTGTGATGTAACCTGATTAACTTAAAGGAATAGTTCAACATTGTTGGTTTCTTGTCGAAGAGTTAGGTGAGAAGATTGATGCCTCTCTCTGCACCCTTAATTTGAAACTGAAGCCAGGCGACACTGTGCATAGCTTATTTTAGCTCAAAGACTAAAAGCAGGAGGAAAAAAACTAGCCTGGCCATGTCCAAAGGTCCAAATGGAATGAAATCTCTACCTCTACCAACACCTTTAAAGCTCACTAATTAATATGTTGTATATGGTTTGTTTGATTTGTACAAAAACAAAAATGTAAAAATGAGTTGTGGTGTATGGAGAGTTATGTGATAGGCTATATCTTAGTCATTTTCGTGACATTGCCAGGCCAGATGCAAGGTATTAATTTATTAACTTTAAGTTGTAGTTATTTAACCTCTGGACAGGCCCATTCCCATTATTTATGTCAGCTAAGCTAAGCTAATCGACTCCTGGCTGTAGTTTCATTTTTAGCATATAGAGATATCTAAGACAAGATTGATCTCACTCACTGCAAGAAAGTGAATTACCATATTTCCCAAAATGTTGAGCCATTCATTTAAGTACCTTTTGGATTACTTTCTACTTCAAATTACAAACAGTATTTTTGTAGCTTTATTGTATTATGTTTAAACTTTTGAATAGGTTTTCCCTTTAAACATGCTGATGAACTCTTATTATATACCATATAAATATTTATTTGTTTAGTCCAATTTACTTTACATGCATTTCCTTCCCAGGAATCCATTTAAAGAACTTGCACACCAGGGCACTATGTGACACTGAGCATATCTGTGTGTATCTACAGTAAATGCCAGGAGGCAAATGTCTGAATTTGATGTAAACCTTTTTCTGCAGCTTGTCTTTGGGGTGTGTTACATGCTGTAGATTCTGGTGGGGTTTGCATAACCAGCCATGTGGAACAACAGCGTGAAGCGTGTTACTGATGCCTTACTGTATCTATGGTTATATGAAGGTAGATCACAAACAGAGGAGTGAGATCACGGTGGCTGTCTTTTGTTTCCTGACATCTTCTCTCTCTGTGAGTGGCTCTACAGCAGAGTCAGAAAGCCTGTTAAAGAGACTGGAATGGATCAAAGCTGCTCTTTAAAATGCTGGAAAATATACTACATAAGACCCCGTAAGAGTATTTTATCTCATTTAACCCTGAACCAAGGTGAGTGAGCTCAGCTCCAGATTTATTCCCTAACAGTACTTTTAGAGCAGAGATGTTCTGCAAACGGTCAGTGTGTGTTCGTGCGTGAATGAGGCAAAATGTGTATCCCTTATTGCTTTGTTTGACAAAAAAACTACTGTTTGTGGGACCTAGAGGGTGTGTGTGTATGTGTGCCTATGCTGCTATTGGTCTCTTTGGCTGTCCATCAGTCTGTGGCATCAACAAGTGAACACAGTGTACCTAGAGCAAATGGATAAATGAATGTGATAATGTTAATATAAATAAATCAATAAATGCACAGGATGGTGATTCTCATATTATTTCACATCAGAGCGTGCAAACTAAAGTGTTGCTAGATTGGTGTATTTATCTTGATTCTAAAATGATTTAACCTGAGACCATTTGGGCTACATGTTACTTCACTCTGGTCTAATGTAACACATTTCAGGTTAGGCTTGAGTGCATATTTAGAACACTTTACCTTCAGCTACCTGTAGTGGTATCTATAGCTGATACTGTAGTTTTATGAAGTCTGTCTCTTAGATTAACAGGAATTGTTCAACATTTTGGGAAATGTGCTTATTTGCTTTTTTGCTGAGAGTTAGATGAGAGGATTGAAACGACTCTCGTAGCTGTGCAGTAACTATAAAGCCAGAACTAGGCCATTAGCTTACCTTAGCATAGAGTTTGAGCAGGAGCAGCAGCTATTCTGGCTCACTCCAAAGCTCAAACATATGCCTGTCAGCACCTCTAATGTTGCATTCAATGTGTAGAACAGGAAAACTGCCCATTATTACAACCATGGTTACCACCGCTAGCCTTGTAGTCACATCATCAAAAGTCTAAATTAGTCTAAAGTCTAAATTATTATCTTTTGCTGTGTTACCATTTGACTCTGTTCAAAATAAGCTGCTAGCTGCTTCCAGTGTTTATGCTAAGCTAAGCTAAGCTAAGCTAATCGCCTGCTGACTTTAGATTTAAAATTAGCATACAGTCCTGAGTTTCAAATTCTACATATAATGTAATTTGCTGTACACTCAGTACAGATTTCAATTCAAAGTTTGAATGTTGTTGATGTATTAACTAATTTCTACTGAAAAAAACAATTCATATAATAAAACTTCTGCGTCTTCTGCGGATAATGGTTATTATAAAAGATAGGGGTGGTGATGGCGCATAGATAAGATGCTTGCCTTTGGTGTGGGAGACCTGGGTTTCCCACTGTGAGACATCTACCATTGTGTCCCTGAGCAAGACACTTAACCCCTAGTTGCTCCAGAGGCGTGCGACCTCTGACATGTATAGCAATTGTAAGTCGCTTTGGCTAAAAGCGTCAGCTTAAATGTAAGATATTGCTTTTGAGGGGGTTTAAATATAATTTTCCAATGCTCTGATCATCACAATCCCATTCACCTCTCTTGTATTGTGTTTGCAGCAGCAGAAAATCTGGGGACAGAAATTGCAGTAGAAAGAAAATCAAAACTATCTACATGAATAGGTACCGCTTTAGGGGTACTGTAGGAGAGAAACTGGGAGAACCAACCCACTGAATTGAAATTTGGACGAATCACCCCTTGGCCCAATGATAAAAGCAGTGTAATGATTATAGCAGATGTTCACTATGTACAGTGGCGCCCCTTTGTATTAGTCTCAAGGTGGCAAATAGTAGCTTTTTTATTACTTCACAGGTGTTTATATAAACACTGAGAATTATGTGCTAATGCTTTCTGATCCAGCCCTGATGTGTACTTTACCTTCCTGGGCTGATTTTGCTCTGTGCTTCCCTACTGTGTTTGGCTCTGCTCTAAAAGTGTTTCCAAAGCTGCTCAAGCTCTCAAGACACACATACGTCACACTAATCCAGTACCTGTGTGAGTGTGTGTGTGTTGAGCTACAGAGGGATTGAGGTTGATTTACATCACACAGACCAAATATGGCAGAGCCCGTACTGTTGCAGGACACGGTGAAGCATGTGAAACATCACAACTCAGTATCAGCCCAGTATCAAACTTTTTAACATAATTCAGTCGTGCAATATACAGTATGTATTGAAATGTCATGGAGGTACACCTGCTTTGGTCAGGAGGAGTTCAATTACATCAGGAGAACATTTTTGGCATGCCAATTACTGAAAAAGTAGAAACAAATAAAAATTTTATTGATGTATTTTCCTGATTTTATCACGTGCACTATATTCTAACATCTTTTACCTTAATTTGTGAAACTACTTGTTTAAAAACCCAGTACAAACTGACTGTACATTTGCAGGTTTTTATGACAAGGTTTGCTTTTCTCGAGGTGTAAAGTCTGCCCCTTAGTGTTATAACATGGTTTTGCATTCAGGTGTCAAATTCCAAACTGTTGCCTCAAAACAATATGGTTCACATTTTGGCTTATAATAAATATTAGCTCATAATCAAACCAACAACTAACAAAAGAGTAATAATTACACAAAATGTTTAAGAAGTCAGTTTATCTGAGATCCACATTAAAGCTATGATCTCTCTGTAGAGGTGAAATAGAGGACTGATTGATTAAATAATATAAATGACTGCAGTGTATGTGTGTAGGGAAGGTGCTTGACTTCATGTCATGTAAATTATGACAGGCAGGCCTCCACAGCCTCCCTTACGATTGGCTGTTGCTCCAGATGAGACTCTGCCTCCATGAGAGAGCAACCAGTCAGCAAACAGACCAAAGCCAGAGGGACCACCTGCACAGAGAGAGGAAATATATTACAGCCAGCCACCAGTCATGCATTTCCTCCAATACATTATGCACCTTACTTCCTCCTTACCTTGGTCCTGTTTCTGGCAGTGTGTGTGTGTGTGTTGATGTCAGAAGATGTAATGTCCACTGTCAGCTTGTCCACTCGGTAGACGGCCTTGAGAAGAGCTTCCTCACATTGGGACTCAGGGCAACCTGACAGCTTCTGGAAGGAGAAGGAAACAGCTTTGATTTAGCTCCAAAACCCTCTCAGTGGTTACTGTAACTCAACTGACTCTTCTATCAGGTTCAGATCAGGAGTATGTGCTGTACGTCAACATGGTTTAAAAGTAAGTTTAGGAAAACAGAAGTTTAGTTATGTAGCACCTTTAGAGCAGATGTCACAAACTGCTTCACAACAAAACTACATTATTATAATCTTGTGGAGGGACCCTGTGTCAAAATCTAGTTAATTATTTCACTTTATTTAGGAAAATACAGCACGTGGGCACCACTTCAAGTTGTTCTTCATCACACCACCTCAAACTAACTGACACAAAGAAATCAGATAGTATTCCTGTATAGGAGAACTGGTTGGTTTCTGGGTCTCTTTGTAAAATATAGTGAAACTACCATCTAGTGTTCTTTGGGCTGTGTGCAGTGTACTAGATGAGAAATTGGAGGCAACAGGGGCCCAACAGTATAAAGGTTAATCCAGCCATGATCCTGAATGACATGACATCGAAACCAAAAAGACACATCTTCTTCACAGTGTGTTGTGAAAATAATGCGCAGTTGACAAACAGACAAAGGAACATGTATTGTATATTTGGTGGGATAACTTCCTTTAAATTTCTATACCTGGAGTAAACATATGGCTCTGCGGTAGAGTTTCCTGTTGGTGACCTGCACGTCGATCATGTGGTTCTGGTAAATCTTCCCCTTTAAAATGTGAGCTCCGGTGCTCACACCGTTCAGCAGCAGCTTAGTGGACAGCTCCCACTGCTGGGAGAGAGGCGGGATTGATTTTCTTTCTACATCAGCATCAGAGGAACAATGTAAACATATGAAAATAGCTTGTCATCTAAAATAGAAATAAACTAATAAGAATGTCTTTTAACATTTGACAGGGAGGACTCACTGCAAAATGGTCTGTTGGAGGAGGGAAAAGGAGAAAAAATGAGGCAACCTTGATATTTATCATGCTCCAGTGAGTCACTGAATCAATGTTTATGTGTGTGTGTGTGTGTGTGTGTGTGTGTGTGTGTGTGTGTGTGTGCGCGCTGTACCATGTGTAGTAAGCTCCCTGAGGCAGGTGACAGCCAAGTAAATTTTAGTGAGGATAAACACAGCTTATTGATGTCATCCTGCAAAAAAATGGAGACTATATGAGATAGATAGATAGATAGATAGATAGATAGATAGATAGATAGATAGATAGATAGATAGATAGATAGATAGATAGATAGATAGATAGATAGATAGATAGATAGATAGATAGATAGATAGATAGATAGATACTTGTTGGACAGCAGCTGCAGTGTCTCCATCAACATGATGATAAACAGCATGGAGGTTGGACGTCTTTTTTCTCACTCTGTGTGCCAACGTGGCCACCTCACTGACATCGTCTGTGGAGCGAAGCCATCGAGACACATGTTAATTTCATTTGGACAAAATCCAAACATGAAACGAAGAAGGTGTTATCTCACCAGAGTGCGTGTAGAGAAGAAGAACGATGTCCTGGTCATTAAGAGATGGCAGAACTAGA